GTGTTTTGTGCAGTATGTTATGCCAGTTGAGGTTGGTATCCCCTGTGACCATCATCCCGAGCCCACAGGTCCAACTGCTTACTCCCTCTAGGTAGCTGGCTGTGGCCAAGAAGCAACCACAACCTTGTCAGCGTACTATAGACCTGGACATTATTTTTTTTAAAAAAATTTTATTGTGATTTGGGTGAAAGTTTACAGAGAAAATTCACTTTCCATACAGCAGCTCACATACACTTTGTCTCGTGACATTGGCGACATTTCCCACAATGCAGCAGCTCTCTTCCCACTTCCTCCCCATAGTTACCTCTTCCCTGTGTCCTTTCCTCCCATGCACTCTTGCCTCCTGAGCTGTCTCCTTGTGCATATACAGCCCTTCTGTTCTACCATGATTGATCTCTCCAAGGAGTATATCTATCTAATGTAAATGTTCAGCTCATATGCCTGTCTTTGATTTGGCTGGAAGCCACAGGAGTGGGTTCAGTTCCAGACTTGAAGGGCAACTAAGGGCCATAGTGTCAGTGGTTCCGTCAGGCTCTATCAGACCAGCAAACTTGGTCCTTTTTTTCAAAATTACTTTAGTTTTGTTCCAAATTGTTCTCCCACTCTATCCAGGATCTCCTACAGAGATCCCCCTCCTAGTGGTTGACAGTGGTAGCCAGGTACCATCTAATTCTTCTGCTTTCATAGTCATATAGGCTGAGGATCACATGGTGTACCAGTTGCTTGGACTAATTGTTTCCATGCATCTTTGGTTTTCTTCATTCTTCTTTGCTCTGGACAAGGAGAGAACCATCATTAACTCTAGATGGCCGCTTGCAAGATTTTAAGATCACAGTTGCTACGACCTGGACGTTTCTTAATATAGCACATACAGATAAGCTTGTAGAAACATCATCTGCCAACCCTATACGTAATCATGGGCATACTACCCCCTGCCTAGACATACTTTATTGTTCAGCTTGTTCATCCATCTATCTACCTGTAGATCAATCCTTGCCATCACTGACAACTTGGTACTGTATGTGCAGAAGGGTTCATCTTTGTTGTCTGTACCTCCCATGTACCTCTCTCTTCCTTTTCCTCAGTGCCACCATGTTAATCACTTTTATTTGGTATATTGCCCTTCCCTTCACCCAAATCAATACTTGTCTCTCCTTATCAGTGGTGTTCCCTCCTCTCCCCTCCCACCCCTGGTAACCAACAAAGAAAGTTTCCTTTTATATAGAAACCTTTCCTTGACTTTTTACAATAATAACTAATACAGTAGTTGTCCTTCTGTGATTGAGTTATTTCACAGCATAATGTCCTCCAAGTTCATCCACGTTATGCAGTGTTGTGTAAATTCTACATTATTCTTTAGCAGTATTGCATACTATTCCATGGTGTGTATGTACCATAGTTTGGTTATTCATTTTTCTGTTGATGGGCACCTAGGTTATTTACATCTTTTTGCTATCGTAAATAGTGCTGCAATAAGCATGGGTATGTGTATGTCTGTGTTTGTTCTGGTTCTCACTTCCTTAGGATATATACCTAGTAATGGCATTGCTGAATCAAGTGGTGTTTCTAATTCCAACTTTTTAAGCAATTGCCATACTGTTTTCCACAATGGATGTATCATTTGAGGGCCTCACCAGCAGTGTATGAGAGTCTTAATCACTCCACATCCTTGCCACCATTTGTTATTTTCTGTCTTGTTGAACTTTGCTATTAGCGCTGGGGCAAAAAGGTATCTTCTTGGTTTGATTTGCATTTGACTGCTAACTAGAAGGCTGGTAGTTCAAACCCACCAGCCACTGCTTGGAAGGAAGACTGGGCAATCTATTTCCATAGAGATACCGCTTCAGAAACCCAAGGAGGAGGGGGGTCACTGTAAGTCAGAACTGACTCGGCAGCAGTGAGTCTGTTTTTTTTTT